ATTCAGGTGTTGGCAAGTCATGTCTTCTCCTGAGATTTGCTGTAAGCCTTCATTGTTGCTTAAATATGACTGTTTAGATAAATCCTGCAATGCTCTTGGATGTTAATTAGTTGTTCTTACGAAGTTAGTATGTGGGCCTTTACTTTCACTATAGTAGATTCTTTTTCAAACTGAAGATGCCTAATTGAATTTTATCGATCAGCAGGTTGCTATTCTTTTCCTCCTATTGATGGTTGAATTTGTTTAATTGAATCAAATGATATAGCTCTCAGATTGATTGCACACATTTTAGTAACTAGTCTTACCATTTTTTTTTTTTTACTCCTATTCTAATTTCCGTAGAGAGTAATGTGGTGCATAGCATACTGTATCACTCTCGGGTAATCAGAGATTGTTGTGATTCCCATTATTAACATCTCAAGCGCCGAGCTGATATGATAGCAATAAATCCAGATTTTTTTTTAAATAAATCATTTTTCCTCCAAATTGTTTTTTTTTTTCATAACTCTGATCCTTGATTATCTTTCTCATCCAGGATGATTCATACCTGGAAAGTTACATCAGCACGATTGGCGTTGACTTTGTGAGTTCTTGAACTTGATTTTTTGGTTTGTTTTAGCTGGCACAATTTACATTCTGACCACATTTCTACTTTTTGCAGAAAATACGCACTGTGGAGCAAGATGGAAAGACAATTAAACTTCAGATTGTAATGTTCTCTTATCTTGATTGAATTGATCTTGTGGGCCAGTAGTACTTGAGTGTTTTGTCATTTTTTGTTACCATAGCTGGTATCTCTGGCAAGGAGTTTAAAAAAAAAAAAAGGTCACTCTTAACTTGGAATGACAAAATTAGATGTATTTACACGTCCTTGTTTTCCCTTTTGAGGATAATTTATTTGATACCTTTGCAATGATTGGGAAAACAAATGGATGCGGTCAATTTTCTGAATAGAAGTGTTCTTTATGTTACATAAAATTTGTCCAGTTCACCTATGTTACTCGAAAACATAAGTCATGAACAATTTACGTGGATGCGATGAGCTATTGGGAAACTGGTGTCATTCTTTTCCCTTGTCGTCAACTTCTAGAAGAAAATTTTGAGGTCTTTCAGTCCGATGCAACTTGCACCATTGGAGCCTTTTATTTTGTAGTAGGAAGGAAAAAGGTCAAGAGGCTGAGTGAAAATGACAAGCAATTGTAGAAATTTCTGCTAGTAAAGAAAATTAATTTAACACAATTGTGTCTTTTGGTAAATTGTCTTGATTTTTTTTCATTTTTCAACTGAAATTCTATTATTTATGACTATCTAAAATTTACTAAATGTCCTTGTGCAAGAAATGGTTCTTATGTTCAATCAGCTGTCAGTAGGGGTATGGATGAACTGTACATGTCATGATTTTGTTCGTCTAGTTATCTGGTTGGTTGAAGATCTTCATCTACTCACACCATTGACGATCTGTTCATGAAATTTGAGTCATTTTAATACTTG